TGTGAAAACCTTTTATTTTAAACTACATACCAACACGCTTCCAGTAAAGACATGGTTAGCAAAAAAGGGCATGTTTGTACCATGGAGCGAGGATTGTATTTTGTGCAAGAAACCGGAGACCGTGGAGCACGTGTTCCTGGACTGCTGGGATGCTATCCTGTTCTGGGACGTGCTCCAACGCACTCTTAAAAAAGACCTACCGCTCACGGCTCGGGGAATACGCTTTTTGTCTGTGGAAGGGACGCCTTTCCCATATGATCTCGTATTTTTACTGGGCCTGCATGCTATTTGGAGATGTAGGATGGCAGTTCGTCACGCGGATCTGGATGCCCGTCCAGTACGGTATTATTTCATTGAAAATATAAACTTGATAGCAGCTGTCTACGAGAAAGTATGTCTGGAACTGGAGTGGTTGCCTGCATTTTTGAAGCTGTCGATGATGAGAGAATTTTAACAATTCTCACCGCCTCTCCAAACCTTACAGGCGACGTTCTATCGTCGCCTTCACTAGCGTCGTCAATATAATATTGCACATGTTCAAGTGAAATTTATCGTGCATTGTGAATCTTTGTTCACTGTCAAAATCTTGCAATAAAGAAAAAAAAAAAAAAAGTGGAGTGGTGTAGTGGTTAGCACACCCGACCGGACATTGGGAGGCCCAGAGTTCAAATCCTGGCTCCGCCAATTTTTGGCTTTCGGCGGGTTCCTGAAAACTTGGATTCTTTAATTCATTGGATTAAGTACGGTTCATTCATCTGCACATATTCGTTTATATCCCCCTCGGAGACCACGTACGATGACGTGAAGTGCCCGTGTTGTATATTCAATAACGTGGCTCTTGATTCTCGCAGATGATGATGATACCGTGTCTCTAAAAGCTCATAAACAAAGAATACTACATGTACACGGGGCGAGACAAACAGTGGGAGGATTTCTGGAGCACAAACGAGCACGTACCACGTGACACTAAGCGTCGTACCGCGTTCCACGCGGCGGCGTGTGTTTCCAGAACACCTCCGATTGGACACATTTCGTTTCTTGTGCATTAATAAGACAGGCAGGAAACGCCAGAAAGCTAAGGTGGAGTGGTGTAGTGGTTAGCACACCCGACCGGACATTGGGAGGCCCAGAGTTCAAATCCTGGCTCCGCCAATTTTTGGCTTTCGGCGGGTTCCTGAAAACTTGGATTCTTTAATTCATTGGATTAAGTACGGTTCATTCATCTGCACATATTCGTTTATATCCCCCTCGGAGACCACGTACGATGACGTGAAGTGCCCGTGTTGTATATATATATATATATATATATATATATATATATATATATATATATATACATCTTTGTACACTGGGATTTGGGTCGGATTGAGTGTCAGATCACAGTTCTTTCAGATGAATGGTTGCACATTTACACAGTTCCTTTATGTCCGCTTTGCTTTCAAATGTCCCTTGTGTGACGTCATTCGGGAGGGAGCGCCAGAGCTCGATGGTTCTTGGGAGGAGCGTGCTTCTATGACGCTCCGTCATAGAAGTAGAACTGTTCTGTCGCGCAAACCACTGACAACATCTAAACACGGAAGCCAGAAGAGACGAGCAAAAATCGCGAAGGGACCTGTTCCGGCCAGTTCAGTGTTTTCCCGCAAGGTGCTGTTCGTTTTGCTGGAGTCGCGATAGCTCGCCTTCCATATAGACGCTTTACACACGCGCCAAATTACAGCCGCCATTACTGACCTTCTCTTGTCTTACCAAGGTGCCGAGCAACTGAAACGGTAGTTAACAATCCTCTACAAAGGTCGATGCTTTAGAAAAAGACAAAGTGTAATCTTATATGGCAATAACCTGGCCTGCTACGGTAAAGACTAATTGAAGAAAATAGAATAAGAGGAAACAAAAACTGAAGGTCAGTTATGGCGGCGTTCATGCACAGCTGTTGCAAAGCGTCTATAGAAAATATTCGAAGTAAATAACCAAAATAAAGCGTCCATGAAACGCGCGTGCGAAGTGCCATTTATTTTAGATTTTTGCTTTCGAATAGATCGATCTGAAGACGCGACCACGCGCAGCGCGTGTACCTGCGTTTCTGCCATTCTTTCTGATGCTTGGGTAATGGCTAAAAGCTGCTTCGCTCGTGCGAAAATAGGATAGTTTCTCCCGCCGTTTCTGGGCGGCCGCAGCGTCTCGGCCGCGTCTCTGCCTGGACGCGTTTCTCGCTCCGGAGTAAAGGTTGACATTCGAACCCACGTCCAACGTTGCTCTCTACGTGTTTTCCGTCATTCGACCGGCAGGAGTGGATCGTTGCTCGAGTTCAATCGTGTGTCCCGCAGTTGTGAACGGCAATGTGTTCAGTTTATCTGCGCCGGAAAGTGCCTCTACGAAGTGCTTGTGTTAGACGGTCCGGAAATCGCCACGGGACGACATTCACAAAATCTGCGTGAGAAATATTTCTCGTTCCTGCTATTATCGGTTTGCTGTTCGCTCGCTGGCGGATTGAGTAGACGTACTGGGGTTGAGATGATCGTGGGACTTTTCGACAGCGCATAGAGTGGATCTGTGTTCTCAATTACACGGACTTCTATGAAAATAAAATTAGCGCCGACCGTGGCCACTAACGTCTCGTAGACACCGCTGTGCTCAGGTGAGCTTACATTCATTAGAAAGGTTGATCGTCACACATTAGGCCTACGTATAGTCCGACCAGTTTATACGAAATACTTCTGCTAGGAGCCGCACTTTACTTTGCTCAAAAAACTGTTTAGTTACTGAAAGGATGCGAACGGCAGGATGTCTTTCTGATGCCTCCAGCAAGCGCTCGTTGCCTTCCGGCGTGCTTTGGCTCTACATGCATACTCGAGGCTCATGAGACACCGGAGGGTTATCGAAGGTGGGTAGATGGATGGATTGTTAATGGCTATAGCTTTCGTAGCGGGTGGCAGCTTGCGCCACCTAGCCTAAGTCAAAGTCTAGCCTAAGTCCAAAGCTCGCGCTGGAGGCGGGCCAACTGAAGGACCTTTCTGCTGTTCTCATCCTGTGAGTGACAGCCCCAAACGGCCCAAGCTCCTCGTCCTTCTACAGGTATGCCGAGGGAAGCCGCAAGCAATCAATCGCACTGCATCGCCAAGGCGCTCGTCCTTACAGATTCGAAAGAAGCCATAAAAGAATGCATCCGCAGGAAGAGCCCGTATGGCGTCGCACCACAAATCAAGAGCCTCATCAAAGAAACGCATCCGGACTTCGACGTTAGCATTTTGTGGATCCCGAGCCAAAAAACCGCGGAAGGAGTTACATACGCAGCCATGTCGCATCGTTCATTCTGCGCGCAGCAATTTGTGTGTCTACAGGACGATTCACAGACTTGCGTAGAGTCCGACCGAGTGTCACTGCATGCAACGGCTTTCGACGTACGGGTTTCTATGGCGACAGCTGCGTCGGCTCCAACAAAACGGGCTGAAAACCGGCTTTGTTGGAGCCGACGCAGCTGTTGCCATAGCACCCTCGCACTCGCGGTCGGACTCCCGCTAATGTGTGAACGGACCACTGAAAAAAAGAAAAATATTTCTCAAACAGTTTGGTTGGGACACGCGTGTCAAGAAATGCATTTTACGGGGGAAAAAAATGAAAAGCCGTTTACATCACCCTCTAGCGCAGAATTAGAAGAGCAGCTTTTGAGGAGGAGTGGAGGTTATACCCCTCCTTCCTCATTTTGACCTCCTCATCCTCCCTGCTACTCCTCCTCACTCTTCCCTTCTCCTCTTTCTTCTCCTCCTCTCTCCCCTCCTCGTCCTCCTCCTCCCCTCCTTTCCCTCCCCCTTGTCCTCCTCCCCGCGCGGTGCATTATGGGACATATCCCACGATGCACCGCGCGTTTACGCCGACGCCGCTCAAGCCGGAAACGGGCGCCCAAGATCTGCGCTCTAAAATTAAAACAATATTACGGCGCGCGACGTGATTTAGTTGGCAGTCACCTCCTTTCAACTTGTTTCCTCTTTCGGCATTTCGGGCGCGTGGAGGAGAGGTGGATCGGCTTGGCCATCACGTTGAGGTGGAAAGAGTGTATGGCCATCTCGTTGAGGTGGAAAGAGTGTATGACCACTCCGTGACGACATGGACTTTGCGCGCAGAATTTAAAATAAATCTCGCGCCTTCAGTATTGCTCTAAAAATATTTTTTTCAAGTAAAATTTATTGTTTGACACGCGTGTCCCAACCAGACTGTTTAAAACAACATTTTTTTCAGTGGCCTTTTAAGGGGAACTTTGCTTCTGCATCGCGCTGAACCCTTCCTTGGCGACGCTAAAGTCACTGACGCGAGATCGACATTACACCCCACTCTGAAAATCTTCGTAGCAAGTTAAAGCGCTGGATATCCTAAGTTATCCAAGTACCGCCATCGTTTTATCGTGGTGCGGTAGCTCTTATCGGATGCCGGCGGCTCGCGTTACCCTTTCTGGCTCATGGCGCATCCCACATCCAAACGCGCACGCTCCGATGAATGTGCTGTGGCTGCCGGTGACGCGCCGCCGTTTGCGAGCACGCTGCCATTGGTCTACTGTAGATGCCGGCGCCGCGCCGCCGCGACAAACTAGATTGGCGGCGACGCTCCGCCATTTTTGGCTCAAGTGCGTCCCAGCATGCACAGCTTGGCGATGTTCGTTTATAAAATTCAAATTCATCTAGTAGTCAGTTAAAGCCCCTCCATATGTTTGCTTTTGTCTTTATAGTCAGTGAGTGCACAGCGCCGCCGCACGGGAGCTGGCTCGCTCCGGCCGTGCACGCGGTGGGCTCTAAACGTTTGGCAATGACTGTACCTCTCTGCGAAGCAGACTCATACGTACTTCTACCTGCATTCCAAAGAAAAGCCTATTCAGGATGGCCGCCGTGGGGACCAGAACTCTGTTGCTGAGGGATACGTGCCAATGTAATGTGTCAGATCAAAGGTACCCAAGACCAGGTGTGCGCAAGATGACAAGAGGCGCATGGTCGAGAGCGCCGGAAGCATCTTGCCTCGTCGGGGAATGGCGGCGAGCCGTAGGAGGGCGTCCAGCAGGTAGGCGAGCAGACACCAGGCCAGGCCCGAGGCGGCCACCACCTGGAAGGTTCTTCGGGCGCCGAACCACTGGAATCCCGCTCCTCCTATCATGCCTCCGAGGGCCGTTCCTACGCAACAAAAGAACTCGCCATTAGAAACAAGCACGCTTGCCCGTACCCAACTGTGGGCATTACACAACCCTTTTTTCCTAGAGTTTGCGCATCGGCCGTTCCTCAGCCAGCGCTGTCGCCTTGACGTCGAGCACGGTGGCACTAACGCGTTTCGTTCTTCGGTAACATAGTAACGTGCTTGTTAAATTTTCAACTCATGAACAACATAATTTAGAGTAACGGGTAGCGGTCGTTTTGTTACTCGTTACATCTTCCCAAAACGTAGAAAAAAAATGTACGCTTCAACTTTTTCCGTGTTTCCACTTGCGAGGTCTTATGAATTCTTGCTTTCACCCGTATACCTTCAAAGTCGCTCCCCTCTTTACCCCTCGCAAACGCGCCCACTCTAGAAAACCGCAATCCTCACGCCCTTTCCCCCAGTGTCGAAAAAAGCTGTCGCCGTCAATGGCAGGTAACGCAAGTGGCCCTAACGCAAAAGTAACACGAGTTACTTTTTATCGGTAACGCGGAACGCTTTAACGATGGAGAGTTGCTCACCATTTATGGTACGGTAAATACCATTTTCACCTTGATGTAGCGTAGGTCGGGAACGCGATCCTTTTATTTGCAAATAACGTGTACGGTATTTTGTTACTTTTATTTTTCGTTAACGCCTACAGGCTACAACCTATTAGAGAGGTTTAGTAGATCGTTTCGATGACTCCGATAACGACACCAGATACTCAACCTCAGCCTTCACGCAAGCATCGGATCGTTATCGAGAGGTATCGGGACGATTTACTAACACACTCAATAGACTAATTCGTATTGCCAACTGCCGGGAAGCGTATTCTGAGAAGCTCGTGGAGTAATGTCAATGGGTCAATTTCAGCACATTGATTCTTTACTTCGAATCCTTTTTTATTTTATTTTTCAGCGAAGGCGAGTACGCGCGGCCCGTAGATCTGCGTTTCTAGCATTCTTGATGCTTGCGTAATTTCGCCAGTAGCTCGGTACCACGTGGAGCGAAATCTGAGTTGTCTGGTATCCACTGAAGGCCATATAGTTGAGTGACTCAACTATGGTCGCCAGCAGAGATGGCAGTAATGACATTATTGTAATGGAATTACAGTTATTCAATTACTTTTTAGAGTAATGAGTAATGTAATTAATTAGTTCACTAGGCTAGTAATTTAGTAATGTAATGAATTACTTTCAGGCAGCAATTTGGAGAAAATTACTAATTACTTTTGAAATTACTTTTGTCCTAAATTAGAAAATTCGTTTGCAAGCTTTAAGAAAGAATAGAAAAATTATTTTGCATGGAGAAATGTTGTGAAAGTGTATCAGAGGAAATAATTGACGGCCACCTGAGCGCAAAGCCTCGTGCGAAGAGCTGGACGAACGCACAAAGGAGGGCTGGAAAGGCGAAGGAGTAAAGCTTGCTGGTAGACATCGCTGGAGGGCAACGGCTTACGAACTCCACGCACGACAGATTCACGGCGTCGCGTCAACATGACGGTACTGTACTTCGTTTATTCCTAAGCTGACAGTGCGGTGGGAGCTGCAATCTAACCAGAGCCAATCAAACACCTTCCTTTAATCATCTGTCCCGTCCTTTTCTCTACTCGTGGGTAAAAACGAGAGCGTGGTTACGTTTCGAACGATAGATGAGTGATTGCTCCAAGAAGCACGTAGCTTCCACCGTTCATCCCTAAGCCGACAGTGCGTGAGCTTAGGGAATAACGGCTCATAGGCTACAAGGCGACGGGCACATCACCAGTGAATTAAACATAATTTCAAACCTGAGAGGACAAGACAAACAGATATCCGGCCTTGTATTTTCGTCAAGCAAGGTCAAACCGTGAGCTTGGACTGCTGTGAACGACAAAAGACAGGAATAAATAGTTAATTCCAAATGCCTTGTCAAAGGCCCAGAACATTTCGTGCGTCCTCGAGCAAAGCAGGTGCCGCTAGCGATAAGCGTCGCTGCCTTCCCTTGATAAGTTTATTCGAGAGTAAGCCTACAAGCACATATCGCCCCCCGTTTGTTGGGAAAGTACACAATGTAGGAAGCTCGCGCAATTCCTCAACTGCGACGCTTCTGCTTAGCAATTATCCAGGCCCTTTGTGTAACAATGCGCAAAAACTTGGACTCTTCGGGTGTTTGGGAAAAATGCCCCTTGAAAGGAATAACCGGGAATAGGTCAGCTATACTCGGCGACAACTTTTATTGGTAATGCAGTGAAGGGTACCGACACGCGTTCCCTCTCCCATTTTGAGCGCCGAATAAAGCTGTGCGCGGGCTCTCCTCCCTTCCACTGCATTGCCAAGAAAAGTTATCGCCGAGTATAGTGCTCTCGGGAAAATAGAATTAGATTGCTTCCGAGGCGGAAGGGAAACGTTTCACGCGACGACTCCTTGTAGAAACGAGCTGCAATTATCCGACTTAACAAACTGACATGGACTACAAGTTCTAAATCAGAAAGACGTAAACACATCACCCTTTTTGGTGAAAACCTTCACCGTTGAATGAACAGCGAAACCGGTGAGTCGACTGTCTTTCCGAGTCACATCTAAAGAAGCTATTCAGCATGTTTAACACTAATGTACGTGTTTTACGGGCTACTCGATTGCCATTTACAACGAATGACATTCGTCTGATCGACGAGTCGGCTCGCGATCTGTCGCGCGTGGAACGCCCCACGCTCGGAGTGTCGCGCGCTGATTGGCCGATCGTTCAAATGTCATTCGTTGTAAATGGTATTCGAGTTGCCCGTGTGGCACGGGCATTATATCGTGCGCGTCAGCAAAACCACTGTTCAGAATAGTTCAGTTTGAGGCCCATAAGGTTGTTCCGCTGTAAAAAGTAAGATCTGAGTTTTAGTACATATAGGCCAACTCAGCTCTTTGACGTCACATCACTGCGGTGGCGCTGCTCTCGCCACTGCGCATGAGCAGTGCCTCGCTTCTCCCAGATCTGGTTCCAGCACATGCTCTTTGTGAGCAAACGAGGGCTTGTTTAGTAAACGCTGTGTTGGTTTATACGGTAAGTAAAAAGAGCGCGAATTACTGCCTCAAGGTATTCAAAAGTAATGTCAAAGTAATTTCAAAGTAATGTCATCACTTTTGGAAGGTAATTGCAATGTAATTTAATTACCTTTAGTCTGCGGTAATTTGTAATGTATTTTAATTGCAATTTTGCAGTTTTCAGAAAAGTAATTAGTAATGTAATTTAATTACTTTCTGAAAGTAATTCTGCCATTTCTGGTCGCCAGCCAACCCGAGCCCAACAGCAACGAATTCAAGTCAAATCCGTTCCTGCTGGGCTCGTGCTGGCGGCAAGTTTCTGATGCATCAAAAGTTTTAGCATGTTTTGGCAGGCGAGGGACATAGTTCCGAGAGTGCGCTGTGAACAACGCACTCAAATATTTGAAGGCCGGTGAATATCGCCTCGATGTTCCCGCTTTGTTCTCCCCTCCTTATTTTTCCCGCACTCCCGAGCGAAGCCGGTTGCCAAGAAAGAAATCAGCTCACCGAATCCTTCGAAGAACCCGGTCACGAGACCCATCGTCGTTGCTTCCGTTCCCGGAGGCGCTATCTTCTCGGCGTAGGAAGGCAGCGCCGAAAAGAAGGCCCCCAGTGCCAGACCCAGGAGCACCTCGACGCCGAGCGTCACCCACGGGTCCACGATAACCGAGTACAGTCCGAAGGTGGCGGCCATGGCCAGCAGGGCCGCCCGAAGCACGAACACGTGCCCGGTCCGGGCGATGAGCCAACCCGCGTAGAAGAAGACCGGCAGCTCGCCGAAGCTTCGCACCGCCACAGAGGCGCCCATGAGTCCCGACGAAGCCCCCAGCTGCTCCAGGTACCAGAAGTGGTACTGCCACACGATGCCCACGAGCACGCCGCCCATGGTCGCGTCCAGCAAGAGTACCGCCACGCGGCCATCGCGAAGCACGAGTTTGGACACGTCCTTCGCGATGGCTGTGGAACTCTGATGCTTCTTTACGTCGCACGCGTACACGCAGGCGACGTCTGCTACCATGAGCGCCGCACAAACGTACAGACCGGCGGAGTAGTCCACGGGGTCCGTCTTCCCGCCTTCGTTGCAGAAGTCGATGAGGTAGCCGCTGGCAGCGGTGAATATTCCCCAGCCCACCGTTCCCCACAACCTCTGGCGACCGAAGCGGTCCTTCGAGTCTTCGCCTTCGCTCACCAGCAGTTCGAAACAGGCTGCATCAGTGAGGGAGTTGGCGCATCCGATGGCGGCGTAGTTGACAGTCACGAAGATGAAGTAGAGCCAGAAGATGAACGATTTGATGGCTGACCCGAACGTGCTCACCGTGTCGTCTACCGAACACTGTGCAGTGCACGTGGACGCGTTTATTGAAACCGGTAGTTCAAGAGTAACGTTCGCACTTTTGAGATCCGACAAGAAGCTTGCCGCCTTTCGGAAGCACGGGTCCTGCGCATCGTCCGTAACGCAGAGACAAGACACATTGCACGTGAGGGTCTGTCCGGTGGTATAACTTAAATTCGAGCTTGACACTGGAATGATGTAGGCATTGTTCGTCACTTTCTCTAAACCCCAATCAATAGAACTATGATTGCGATAAAGGTAGCTTTCCGAATCCCGGTCTCCTGGGACGGGCGGTAGAAAGTTTACGACGGCGAAGGAAGCCGTGATGCAGATAAGAAAGGCGAGGAGGACCGCTTTTATCTTCCTGGAGCGGTCCACGAGGGCCCCGAAGATAGGCTTGGACGCGGCCGAAAAGAAGGGTGCCACGGTGTAGACCAGACCCACCTCGGCAGGCGACACGCCGCGATCCTTGAGCAGCACTCCGATGAATGGTAAGAAGCCGGATAAGGCTGTAAATTGCAAGACACGAACCAAAAGATGCGTTTTGACGGGGAAAAAAAAAAGAAAAGAGCTTCCTTGAAAGTGCAGACCGCCTTCACAAAAACGATAACGAAACGCGTGGAGGTATACAGCTTGCAGGCGTCGCCGAAGCCGGCCTTGGATTCATTATGGCTTAATTAAATTGCAATGAGGAGTTTAAATGAAAAATTATTAGGGTTGACTGAACTTAAGCAACCGTATTGTTTCTGTCACTTCTTCAGCTTATTTTTCACATGCATAGCCCGGAAGGACAGAAACGCGAACGACGGAACGACAGCCTTTTGCTCTCGTCATTGAACGGTTGTCAGCAGAAGCCGTCGCGTATAGCCTGCGATGCGCTTCGAAAGCAGTTATGCTGCCAAATGGTCGGCCCTTTCAGAAATTCGCGCCTATTCGCCCCAGTCTTTCCCCACCGTTCATCACTATACTTAGTTTCATACCACACGCAGCCGATGCTGCGAGCTGATGGGACCGATGAAACAGCGTCAAATGCGCACCAACATAGTGTTCTTCGTTTTCATATACGTGTTCTACAATGACTGAACCAATCACGCTTAGGGAAGGCCCAGCGACTTGCATTTTTGACGCCGTTTGATTGGTTTCGTCAGCCCGTAGCGTCGACGTAAGATGAAACAAAGTTTAGTCGGGAAGCTGACAATGAAGCACGCGCGTTTCAAATGCCCGGTGTATTAACGCAGAAAAAAACCAAGATCAACCTTCGATCTACAATCATGACGATTCGTACACTAGTATGCAACTGATAAAATAATAATTATGCGCGTAATCGTGGTGCCTTTGAAGTGCCCGTGCCGCATTGTCAACTCTGCGGAAGAGCGGCGATTAACGTCGTAGTCGTGGAAAATTAAAACAAATCGGTCCGAATACTGTTAACCGAAAGGGTCGGTCAGGCAGGCCACTAGACTTCGTGATATACTCAAGGAGCCCACCATAGGCTGTACGAGAGCTTCAGCTGGCGACCGCTGAGTGACACGACGATAGTGAGAGGCTGTCGCTACATCGCTCGCATTTCTTTCGTTTGGGATTGTTCGTTTAGACTGGGATATGCACGATCCTCTACTGAGCTAACGACGGAAAACGGACAAAACAATTAGGAAAACAATTCACAAGCATCTGGAGGTGCACTCTGAGAAACCTCCGCGCCGCCAATTGGCGCTTATGTTTCGGCTCTAGAGTAAGCAAGAGGCGTTTCCCTCACCCGAGTAGTAGAAGAAGTAGTGTCCCTTCATGGGTAGCTCCTTTAAGTTAACTTTCGCCATTCCGCAGGTCGCCTTTCAGGTGTCCTTTTTAGGCCGGCAGGTTCATCCTTGGTCGGCGGTATCCGGAAGCTCTAGATGGCCATTGCGCGCTCGCCCAGTCGGCGCGTCCTGTCGGCAAGATAACTCCCGCACCCCGCTGCTTCTCGAGCGCAGGTGTTGTGGTGCTGCCTGCGGCACATCCGCTATCGCTTTCTATCTCGGGCCGTCAAGGCGGGCTATCGGTCAAAGTCAAGCTGGAAGCAGAGAGGGTGCCGCGTGTACGAAACCCGCTGGTCTCGTTCGTAGAAAGAAAAGGAGTAGATAAGGACGCGCCCATGATAACGGGCTTATTTGATACTATAGATTAGGGTCAAATTTCAAGGTCTGTTCTTATCGGGTGACGTCATAGGTGGGAAAGCAAACGAAATATTTGCTCCGAGGCGAGCGTATACATTAAAGAGGAAGTAAAGAAACACAACACCGGCGACGCATAGCCCGACAGCGCCCGCCTGCCCATGTTCAAAAAGCAGGAGTATCCTCACGAGCTCAGAAGTCCCACAGGGAAGTAAGGGTACATGGCTTCCCGAGGAGCTCCGGGGTTGATCGGGTCCTCGCGCTCTTCCGGTAGTCGGCGTTTATGCTGGCGTCGGTCCCCACAGCACCCTCACCGGCGTGCTTGCACATCGCGACACTCTCACGGCCGCCAGACGGCACACCTCCCCATTCCAGTCCACCCTAGCAGAAGTTTGCTTTTCTTCTGATTTGGGAATTTCTTTAGAATGGAACCAATTAATTCAATACCGAGCGACTCGCTTCATTCTATGTAACTATACCCGAACATTTATTAAGAGGCCAGCCTTATTACACCTCCTTAAAGATAGACGCGCTGTAGACAGGCTGTTCGTTTTTCATAGCCAGTTCTACAAGTCCTGGACTGATCGCGAATTCTCTTGATCAGCCAATCATATATCTCTTCGCCGTGGCCATTCTTTTAAAATCAAATTGCCTTTTGGCAGAACTAATACTTCCAAAAACTCGCCTCTCCTTTTATGCCTAAATAACTGGAATGCACTACCTGAGTCCATCGTAACAATCGCTGATCGTTCCTTATTCTTAGCGGAGCTCACACTACATGTGTGAGCTCCGCTAAGAATAAGGAATGTATCTTCTTTATGTATCTTCCTCATGTCTAATTACCGTTACCAACACGCTCGTTTTGTTCTTAATGTGTTTTCAGGTTAGTGTTTTACGGTTAGTTATTGAAAGCGCAAACCGTGCGTTGGGCGCCAAATAAAAGTGATGCGCTTGGTATCCTTCTTAAAGGGGTTATTGGTATATTTGAAATCCTTGTCCTTTATTACATAACCCACGTTCGTTCTTTTGATTGTCCAAATTCGTTTACCAGCGTAAAAAAAAATTTTTTTTTTTTTTTTAGGTGGGGGGGAGTTTTTCTTTTAGTTCTACAAACACGTCACAATAAGTAACTAATAGGGAAGTTTTGTTGTCTGCGCAGGATGGCGAAGTAGATCGGACTCGATGGGCGCAGCTAGAGCGTCAAATATCGCTCCAACAGCGGCGCCATGCTGACGCCAGGCATGCAAGTTAACGGCGCTGTGTTCTAAATATTTCCCAAATGAACCAGAGTTATCTTAGGCGGGTCCTGACACGCGACAACACTGATTGAAAAACGCTGGACGGTTTTAGAATGCCAAGGTACAAGACTCTTACCCTGGAGTAAGATCGAGTAAATTTTGGAGCACGGCCCGGGTGATATGTGACGTCTGGTATTTTGCTCAGATAACTGTAAGATGGCCGACCTCCCTGGACTCCACCGTCTCCTCTTACAACGCAGTCGGTTTCAGGGTTTCGAACCGTACGCCGACACCCCGTTACGTTAAACGAGAGACCGTTCGTCGTCCGGCAAGCTCTCTACTATGTTTACTTTTTCAGCCAGATTCTCGTGACCATACTTTCTTATGGCAGAGTCCTACGCGCGTAGCATGTCTTCATTGCGCCGGAGCCTTTTAGTAAGCTAGACCAGTCGCTTTTCGGCAACGTCCTTGTTGCTATGTAGGAGGACCGAAAGCTTCTATGCCAAGGATATTTGGTAACGTTCTCCGTGGTTCGTTATATTTTCTTCGTAAGAATTAAGTACGGCATCGGCCATCTCGTCGTTCTCGCTTTCTGTCACTCCCATGGACTCCAACTCCCACAACTCATGTAGTGTATCATCAAAAACATCGGTTATCACTGAAGCATTAATTACTACAGCTTGCGAGCACGGCACCAAGGTAGCACTTCGTGACATGGGGCCGTGCACAGTCCACCCGAGCGATGTCTGGATGGCTTTGAGATTGCCGTAGGGTTTAGTGAGTCGTCTTGGGAAAAAATTCCAATAGTGGTCTGAGCCGATTAGGATGTCGATATAGTCGAAATTGTCGTTGTCAGTGATAACCGCGATCGCATAATTTATCTGGCGTAGCCTTTTTACGCCGTCATCCGGTTGGTGTTGTCATTGATGCAAATGACGCCGGTTTTAAGCACCTCAATGAGGTAGGTATGTTCATCCTGTATGGTTTGAAGAGTGATGAGGACCCTTCAGAAGTTCTTTTTTCTTTTTGTGCCCACCAAAATACCCTATATCAAGCCGTTCGCTTGCTAACACTTTGCAACCCAGTCTTTGAGATAAGTCCTCAAATATGAAGAATATCTGGCTGCCGCCGTCAAACAACACTGTATAGTTAACGTTTTGTTTTGGATTCCAGAGGCCCACGCTTCGGCTGTTTGTTACATCACTATCTTTTGGTTTGAAGCATCAGTCGTTGAATATAGCTGCAGTGGAGCTGTACCAGCGACATTCTTTTGTCCTCCGTTGGTAAATTTAGGGTCGCACATCGTGGAAACGTGTCGGCCTCGACACTGCTTGCATGCGATTCTTCCTTGGCAGTTCTTAGGCATGTGGTTCGCAAGGGAGCAGCGGAAGCACTTGTCGTGTTTCTGTAGTATCGTCTTCTTTTGTTCCATTGAAGCTGTCGAAGTGCCTTCTGTGATGTGTTCTTTAAATTTGCAAATGAAGCACGATGTTCCAAGATGCGCTTGCTGAAGTAGTGCAGATGCTGATAATTTAAGACCCTTCTGCTTATCAGGAATTCTTTTTAACTCCTATCTGTGATTTCGTCTTTGACAGAGGATGTTCCAATCTCGCGGGTGCATACGTTTGCTTTCGGTTTTCGAGCTCTACCTTCGAAACATGGAGTAAAGATTTAGAGCTGTTGGTGATCTCTAGGAACTCGTGCTCGCGTATAGTTCCCTTTCCGTCGAATCGTCTTTCTGTGATAGTGCAGATTGAATTATTTCTGAAGGAAGGATTCTCATGAGAAGGTTATGCAGCACCGAAGAGTACGATTTTTCACTCACTCTAAACGACCAGCTGAGTCCACGTACATGAGCCTGAAGGTTATCGAAGATGACCTCGAAGTCCACACTCTAAGCCCGGTCCCACTTAGTAAGAGGGACATTTCTTCGATTTTTTCCCACTTAACTTTAAGGGGGGCGACAGACCTCTTAATATTACATGGAGATGTTCCCTCTTAATTAAGTGAGACACCACCCCTCTTAAAGTAAGCGAGGCGGCGTCTCCCTTAAATTTGAGGTCAGAGTCCCTTAATTAAGAGGGACAGTTTTTAGATATTTTCTTCCTTAAATTCGGAGGGACGGTGGCCCGCTTAAAATGCAAGGGCATAGTCCCCCTTAAGTCGGGGTCACGCTGCTTATACTTCATACAAAATACATTCTGCAGACATGTTCCGACACGAGTCGCCTCGACATCCGCGCTTCGTACGCCACGAGGTAACCAATCAAGAGGTTACTTCGTCACGTGGCATACAAAGCACGGATGTCGCGGTGACTCGTATTGGAACATGTCTGCAGAATGTATTTTTTATGATGTATAAGCAGCGTGACCCCGGCTTTAAGTTACCTCTGTTATTGTATCGTACAATTTCTGCTCCTTCGTGTTTTGAGTGTAAGCTGACATGCTGCACTGCACTTCTCGCACTTTTGCTGATATGGTTTAACCAAAGTTATTTTGTGCTGCGTAGCAGAATTGAAATTTGATCTGTATATCTTGTTTGATAAACGGAATCAATGTGTTAAAGAAAACAGTAACGATCTTTAAGAGTTAACACTGTTTTATTTGCCATGACACAAGAAAATAGTTTGATATGTCTTCATCAAAATAATAATTCTATAACGATGTTCTGGTAGCTTTTACGAATAAAAAAAGACTTAGAACGACGCCAGAAATCGGCGTTTCTTGGAAGCTATCACACAAAAAATTTCGTGCTGCAGAGTGACTCATTTTGCCTATCATAAACAACAACAATACAATCGTGCTGGGAAAAAAAAAAAAAAAAACTTTTTTTAGCGGATAACACAAAAAGAAAAGTACATTCTAAAAAAAAGCCCGTGCGTCTACTTTCCCGCACAACACTTGGAAAGACAATCACCATAACTCTCGGAGGCAGCTCAGCGAATGTAGATGCCGAAACATATGATTATACCAAAAAATTAGTTGCGACATTAAGCACAACAAGCGTGATGTTCTGCATTGGTTAATGTCACAACTCGGACTGGCTTTTTTGGTCTAATCTTATGTTTCGGCATCGTGATTCGCTGAGCTGCTTCCGTGAGTTACGGTGATTGACTTTCCAAGTGCTGGCTCGGGAAAGTAGATTCCTGTGCTTTTTTTTGGAGCGTAGTTACCTACTTCATAGCATTACAAACTAATTATTCGGCGTCTCTTGCCATCAGCAGAAGCTCAGAATTTCAGTTGTTTTTGAACGGCCATAAGCGATTTTATGAGCTTCTCCGACATAAACTGAATCGAAACACTTTATTTTCAACGAGCAGACCCTAGAGGAGTCCAAGGGTTCGTCCAGATGCCACGGGGTAGGAAAGTCCCGTTATGTAATACACCCATAAGCACTTGACTAGTGCCCCCTCCATAGTCGTGCTAGCGGAGAGTTTCACTGACCGGTTCCCAGAAACGATCCCTTTCTCCGAACCGAAGAAAGTCTTGGGTCTTGGAACTTTTTCGTCAGGGGTAAAATCGTCCAGCAAACAGCAATTCTTAAAAAAAAAAAAAAAAAAAAATTGCGTCAGCGTCAAACTTAGATTTCTATTTTTGCATTCTCTTTTTCACATACCATAGGTG